TGTTCTCTTTATTCAAACTTGGTTCAACCTATTATGTCTGGGACTCTTTAATCAAAAGCATGAACCTAATTATCTTTTGACTTATTAACTATTATTTATACATATTCAACATTACTCATCTCAGTAATCATCATTTTAACACTCTTAAAGCGTTGCTTTCACGTCCCTGCATATGTTTCCTGTTGCTCGCTCTATTTTCCCTTCAGCATCCTGTACACAAAACTGTCGCTGCTGCAAGCACCTCCACTCTGACCTAAAAGTCACCTTTTACAATAAAATCACAAGAAAATCATTATAAGTGCCTATTCAACTAAAAGATCAAAAGAAAACAACCATTTTAATCAATTAAGTTTAAACATATAAGCAATTACTCATGCATAAATTTCATCAAAGCTAAACGCTGCCTATAAACAACTCCTGTGTGTTAACACTAACTTCATTTTAAAACTCACATTTCCTGTGTCATAACCTGTCGTTAATATAGCATCTTTATTTCATTTTGCTCCTCTGTAAACTACAGTTAACTTCTACAGTGGCCTCTCTTGTTAATGGCACAAATTATATCAACAAGTTTCTCCTCTTTCAGCCAGATTCAGTTATAAGCTAAATGAATTTCAGGTTTATGGATTCTATGTGTTTGTAAGCATGTGCGCCCCTTTATGCTCCAAGTCTCCCCCAATATATCAACTGAGACGTCGCGCTCAGTGAAGCTTACAACCTTCAATAGACTGAGCCACAACTCTTTAATTAGCACAAAATGCAATGTGTAAAAAAATCATTTCTACGTATAAACTCTCTCCTTTATCCTAAAAATAAATCTATGTAATATCTGTATGTGTAAGCCTACATTATAACCACTTCTTCTAGAAATCAAAAAAGAAATCAAACATTTTCTACTCCTACAATCTTCACTAGTTTCCCCATATCATATCTTTTATTCCCACAGTTTCCCTAAAGGTTTGTACACTGCTTCTTATAAACACCGGCATTTTATCTTCTAAACAGGATTCAGTTCACTTTAATCCTCTAACTTTAACATAAAAATAACAATTTCTGCTTCAGTTTTAGCATATCTAAATTATCAAAAAACTCCAAAAGTCATAAAATGATCCTAAAACCTATTTCAAATTAAACCTTAAATTCCCCCTTTTTTGACACATCACATGACCCCTATGAAAAAAACACAGAGGGAACAGTTTACCCTTCCCGGGATAGGGTTACCGGGGCCCCGCCCTGGAGCCAGGCCCGGGGAGGGTGCCCGAGGGCGAGCGTCTGGTGGCCGGGCCTTAGTCCATGGGGCCCGGCCGGGCACAGCCCGAAGAGGAGACATGGGCCCATCCT